GCTAAGCTTGCTACACATGGACTTATTTGGACCGGTTGATCCAATAAGTGTAAGTGGTAAGAAATATACTCTTGTTGTTGTTGATGATTTTTCCAGGTACACTTGGACCGTGTTTCTCAAGAAGAAAAATGAAGTTGAACAAGTGTTTCCGAAGCTGTTGAAGCAACTACAAAATGAGAAAGAATTGCAAATATCAAAAATCCGAACCGATCGTGGAACCGAGTTCGTGAATGGAGTTATACAAGCTTTTTGCAATTCACATGGAATTTCTCATCAATTATCTGCCGCTAGAACACCACAACAAAATGGTGTTGCCGAAAGAAGAAACCGGACGCTTAAAGAAGCCGCACGAGTGATGATTAGTGCAGCCGGTCTCCCGAAAAGATATTGGGCGGAAGCTATCAACACTGCCTGTTATACTCAAAATCGAAGCATGATCCATAAGCAGTATAGCAAGACACCATATGAGCTATATAAATGGAGAAAACCAAATATTGGTTATTTTCATATTTTTGGATGCAAGTGCTTTATTCATATTAATGATAAATTGCATCTAAAAGCTTTTGATGAGCGTGCAGATGAAGGAATTTTTCTAGGATATTCGACTACCAGCAAAGCATTCAGAGTGTTGAACAAAAGAACAATGGTGGTTGAAGAATCCATACACGTGGTATTTGATGAAAAATCACACGTCAATATTGATGCTCTGGACGAAAATGGCGAAAATATTGAGCAAAATGGTAACAAGTGTCATATTGATTTTTGTGATACTGATGATACGTGTGAAGAAAATATTTTGCAGGGAATGGATGAGTTGGAAATTAATTCTCTAGAAAATCCCATCTCTCATCCAGTAAGAAATGAAATGCGGGATGCAAGTGGTATTGAAATCGCAAATCAACCCAGGGATGCAATTGGTATTGAAATTGCAAATCAACCCAGGGATGCAATTGGTATTGAAATTGCTAATCAACCCAGGAATGAAGTTGAAGTGGAAATTGCAAATCAGCCCTTGGATGCAATTACTGGAGAAGTTGAAAATCTACAGAATGAAGCAGAAATTCGAACCAGTGCTACCTCTTCTCAACCAGTAAATCCACCCAGTACCATGCACCCATTTGAACCAGACTTAAGATGCCTCAAAAATCACCCACCAGAATTAGTGATCGGAAATGTTCGAGATGGCGTGAAAACAAGATCATCTACCATGGAAGCATTGTTCACATGTTATCTATCTCAGATTGAACCAAAAGAAGTGGACGAAGCTCTAAATGATCCAAGTTGGATTGACGCCATGCAAGAGGAACTCGATCAATTCAAAAGAAATGACGTTTGGGAACTTGTTCCAAAACCAATGAACCACAATGTTGTAGGAACTAAATGGGTCTTCCGAAACAAAGCAAACGAAGAAGGCGTGATTGTTAGGAATAAAGCAAGGCTCGTTGCAAAAGGATACTCTCAAGAAAAAGGAATAGATTTTGATGAAACCTTTGCACCGGTAGCCAGACTCGAAGCAATAAGGATTTTCCTAGCCTATGCCGCACACAAAGATTTCACCGTTTATCAAATGGACGTGAAAAGTGCATTCTTGAATGGACTACTCGAAGAAGAAGTTTATGTCGAACAACCCCCAGGTTTTGAGGTAAAAGGCGAAGGTGATAAAGTCTACAAACTTAAAAAGGCATTGTATGGGTTGAAATAAGCACCTAGAGCTTGGTATGATACCTTGTCAATGTTCTTGATAAGCTGTGGATTCACCAAATGCCTTGTTGACAAAACTCTCTTTAGAATTCAAGATGGTGATCATATTTTATTAGTGCAAATATATGTTGATGACATTATTTTTGGAAGCACTAACAATTCTTTGTGTGAGAAATTTTCGAAGCTTATGCAGAATAAATTTGAAATGAGCATGATGGGTGAATTGAATTATTTCTTGGGCTTACAAGTCAAACAATTGAAGGAAGGAATATTCATCAATCAAGCAAAGTACACCCGCGACTTGATAAAGAAGTTTGGCCTTGATGGAAAATCATCGATCAAAATTCCTATGAGTACATCAATAAGGCTAGACAAAGACGAAGATGGAAAAGATGTCGAACAAACGAAGTATAGAGGAATGATTGGTTCACTACTATACCTCACTGCAAGCAGGCCGGACATTTCTTATGCTGTGGGAGTGTGTGCAAGATTCCAAGCAAATCCAAAAGAAAGCCACCTCACCGCAACAAAGAAAATCATAAAATACTTGAAGGGCACAATCAATGTTGGATTGTGGTATCCTAAAGGTACAGATTTTACGCTAACTGGTTTTTCAGATGCGGATTTTGCAGGTTGTAAAATAGACAGAAAAAGCACCTCCGGAACGTGTCAATTCTTGGGAGGAAGGCTTGTTTCTTGGTTTAGCAAAAAGCAAAATTCCATCGCAACTAGTACCGCCGAGGCCGAATACATTGCTGCAGGAAGTTGTTGTGCTCAAATTTTGTGGATGAAGCAACAATTGAAGGATATGGAGTGAATTGCGACGATGTTAGCATATTTTGTGACAATACAAGTGCAATCGCTATCACCCACAATCCAGTGCTTCATTCAAGAACCAAACATATCGACATACGACATCATTTCATAAGGGATCATGTTGAAAAGAAAGATCTAAAAATCGAGTATATCCCTACGGAGAACCAAGTTGCAGATATTCTCACGAAGCCTTTATGCGAAACGAGATTTTCTACTTTAAGGCATGAGTTGGGAATGCTTGAAATGAGCTAAGTATCATTGGACTTAATCTCATGATTTAAATTGATACTTGTGCTCATATAATTTTTTTTTAATATATACGTTTATATATTTATTCGAAAGTTGCATGAATAATTTAGTTCAACGTGTTTAGTATCTACTTATAAAATTGCATGTAAAATTTAACGTGAAAATATGTGCCATGCAATTCATTTTTCGAAAATTTGTATTTATTTGTTTTAATCGCATATCTATGTGTTTTTAATTGTAGTCATGGCATAATACGTGTTTTATGATTTATTTGTTTATGTTAAAAATGCCGTGCCTATTTGTGATGTTATGATTTAATTACTAAATGTTTTTAATTAGTTTATGTTAATTGGTATCTAAAATAATTGGCTAGTTTCTAAATATTTGATTATTTGATTATTTGTGTGTTTTAGAAACTACCGGTATATATGTATGTTTAATTTTGGTGTCTAATTGAAATTTGTCTAATTTCCTAAATCTATGTCTATTGTGATTAGGAGTTTACCGTATATATGTTTGTTTATATATAGATGTGTTTTAATTGCTTTATTTTTTTAATATTCATATATGTTTCAAAATTTTGTGTGAGTTACCCGAAATATTTGTGTATGATTATATGTAATTTGTGTGTGATTATATTTATCTGATTATATTTTTATAAATGATACATCTAACGTGTATTTTTGAGATGAAAAATGAAGAGATCAGATTGGATTGAAACCTCCACCCCTTAAACCTCTACCCCATAAACCCAATCCCATTAAAACTCTTCACCTTTCAAATCTACACCTCTTGATCTCCCACTCATAAATTACATCCCACAAAAATCTCACCCTCTCTCACAAAATCAGATCCTCTCTCTCGTAAATCTCCTCCCCAAATCCAACCTCTCTCTCAAATCTTCAAAAATAATCAGAGGTGTCCATTCATAATCATCTTACTCTATACACCTTACGTATATAGAGTACCTAAGAGACTGTGAGGCATTTAATGCCCTTGTCTGCTAATGATAACCTTTTTATCTCTCCTAGTAACACCTTAACCAAAAGACACCTCCACCCTTAAAAGTGCCTTGTCACCACACCTATTCTAAAGGTCTCAATTGAGATTTCTATCTGAGATTTATACCTCTTCTATAATCCTTCTTAAACCATACGAAACCTTTCATATTCCTCTCAGACGAAATTTTTCCAGTTCTACCAAGATCAGAAATCTCTCTCTCTCAAGCTCTCAATCTCACCGGCGAACACCATGTCTGGAACCAAAGCCATGCAACCCAAAAATCTGCTTACTCTACAACAACAATTGACCGATGGGATGACACTCAATCCAGAGTTTTTCATTTTTGGAGCCGTCAACAAAGAATTAGCAAAGAAGATTCTCAATGCTTTGAAGGATTGTGGACTATACGATTTCTTCACCTACAAATATGTTGGAGTTTTTGAAACAGATGTGACCGAATTCTATTTGCATGCCACTGTGAAGAACAACGTGATTCACTCCAAAGTTGGAAGAACAGATGTTCAAATTTGTGAAAAAGACATCAAGGAGTGCTTCAAATTTCCTTATTCGGAGCTAATGCCAGAAACTCACCATTATGATACTCAATCCTTCTGGAACGAAATTCGCGGTCCAAAAGCACCTGTGATTCACGACTCAACCAAGCCAAAGAACGTGCTGAAACCAGAATATGATATGCTCATAGAGATGATGTACAAGATTCTGGACAATAAGCTTGGAAGTGTGGATGATTTATCTGGAACATCCGTGAGTCTGATGAACGGAATCATGCAAGGAATAAAATTCAACTGGGCAAAATACATCTTCAATCGCCTATTATTCTTTGTAAACAATGCAAAACCTCATGGCAGACCACTTGAAGGAAATCACTTTTTGCATAAAGTTGGGTATGGACTTATTGTTGGAGAAATTCTGAGAAAGAAGAATGTGCCTCTCAGAAGACACAAAAATGTTGGAATCTACAGAACTCTTTTCAGAAAATTTGGACCTGACTATGGCAAGAAAACAAATCGAAGGAAAGGATTAGAAGGAGGTGGTTCTACAACCACACCTCAGAGCTCTCGAAAAAGAAACAGTAAAACTCCATCCGCAGGAAGTGCACACATGGGTTCGAGCAACCCAAGCAACAGAGATCAAGAAGCAGTAAGCTCGGCTATAGCACTTATTCCATTTCAGGAAGTGGTAGAGTCTGAAGCTCATGAAGTGGACATACCCGTAATGCCAACTGAAGAAGATACCACCCAAATGGAGTTTGCAGGAGTTGAAGTGCAAGTTTCCAATGACTTGCAAAGGAGAATCTCGAATCAATCTGCAGTTGATGCTCGTGTTGAGCCCATTGTGTTCGACAAAACACAAACTCGAGATGATCCGGAACTGATGAAGGAATTAAACCGAGTTCAAGCATGGAAGGAATGGAGACTTGAAAGATATCACTCTTTTATCTCCAAAGTTGATTCAGAGTTGATACAAAGTGAAGAATTAGCCTTTGAATAGCTAGGAACCAACTCAATGCTTGAAGCACTAAACATGGATGCAAATCAAGTTTATAGGCTGAAGCTTCAAGAAAAGAACAGTAAAGGAAAACGAGTGGCCGCAGCAACTCAAGAAGATGCCAATCAAGTCTCTCCAAATGATATTGAAAAAGAGAATGAAATGAGGCTACAGATTGCTCTACACAGATCGTTGACTGACACTCATGGACATCCAGGTGATACTTCAATTAATATAGCCAATGATTTTCTTGAAAATTTTGGAGAAAGGGCGAATGAAGGAAATACACTTGTTGAGGTACCAATTTCAGCTTCTGAAACGCATGAGTCTATTCCTGTCAGAGTTCACTGTGCTGAACTTTTGATATCAAATGTGACCCCCACCAACATTGATATAAATGCTATGGACCCTACAAGGGATGAATTTAGAGACCAAATTGATGGTGAAATCAGACCATCAATTGGGGGGGAATATTCACATGAAGTGCCAGTACACGATAACACCCATATATTGTCACTTCAAAATACCTCTCTGGAAGCTACTTTAAATGCAGAGCTTATTTCAAGAACAGAGGTAATTGAAGAAGAAGTGGAAAATCATCTTGAAGAAGCCGAATCACCAAAAGAGAATTTGCAACTCACCGAAAATCTGGTTCTTGGAGATTCAAGAAGGAATTTATTCAAGAGTCTACACTCTTTGAATATGCAAGGAGGCCGAACCCGAGAAGAAGATGAAGATGATTTATTGGTTTCTTTGTTTGCAAAAGTCACTGAATCAAGTGATATGGTGTGTCAGAAAATCGGAAGTACTCTCACCGAGCAAGGGCATCTCTCTCTACAACATTTTGAGAACACACGAACAAATTTGAAGGAGTTGTTGGAGTATCAAAACACTTTGCAGACAAAAATTGAAAGAGCCGAACGACATTTGAAAGGAGATCTCACTGAAGGTTTATTGGAGATCATCCAGCTGATGAAGAAGGAACGAGAAGCCACAGAGAAAATCAACAGTGAAAGACACCTGAGACAAATCAAAGCCATACAAGATCAAGAAACAAGGATAAATCACCTTGAGGTGGAATTATCCTCCATGGCTAATAAATTGTCTATTTTGCAGGATGTTTCTCTCAAAACACATGATGGAGTTAAGATTTTTAAAGCCAATCAAGAGCAAGATTCCAAATCCCTTGGCTTTTTGATTGATAATGCCATAAGGGGGGAAGAAATTCTCAATCATCTGGCTTTACAACAACATGAATTCATCATTGGAAATTAGTCACAACAACCAGCTCAGACCGCCGCACCTACGAAAGGCCGTGGACGAGGATGTGGTCAACAATCCCAAGTTGGTTTCGCTCAATTTGCAAATCCGAGTCTTGGATCAAGTTCATCAAAAGTGGCCGAAACTCGAGATTGGTTCGAATGCTCAAAAGGAACCTTAACACCACAGAAAGTCTGGACATCCGAGAATGTGCCGAGTATGGTGAAAAGATGGCCAAAAGCTGATCAAGCTCAATGGATTTCGGACAAAAATAAAGAAGAAGAAGCGAAACGAAAGCAAACCGAAATGTGGTATGAGCTCAGAGACTATACCAAGAACAATGGTGAAAGTCTGGGATTCCAAAGAAGCTTTGAAGAATGCATAATTTGGTGGGAAGCCGGAGCTCTTCCGGGCACCAACATTAAAGAGGCCTTTGGACACTACATGGCTGGGAATGTGACTAAGAAATTTGAATGTGAGAAGTTCAAGAATGATATCTGCAAGAAGAGAGAACATATCAAGGATATATTGAAAGTTGACATGGGAGTCAAGAAACCCAGAAGGTAATCAAGCATAAATTCCTCAAGAATATGATGTTTTGAATTTCTATGATTTTGGCTACAATAATATTTCCTCAAATCGACTAATATGAATAAAAATTTCTCATGGTCTGATCTAAGTCTGTTTTGATTTATTTTTTGGCTATCATGTAATTAGTTGGTGAATCAAAAGACAAGAGTTGTTAAACGCATGCAAAATTTTGATAAAGATAAAAAAATTGATTAAAAATTTAATCAAGGATGCGTATAGGACTTGTCTAAATTAATTCACAAAGTTTTATTTTCCCTAGAATTATTTTTATCAAACTCATCTTGGCTTTGTCGAAATAAAATTGAGTAAAAATAAAAATATTTTTCAATGACTTAAAGCCAATGTTTGAGTATAGGTTATGGCATTATCAAAAGGGGGGAAATTGTTAGGAATAAATTGTAATAGATTTTGATAAGCCATATTGTAATTCGTAGATCCCCAATTTTATTTTATTAGACTAGTCGAGTCTTAGACCAAGAAAGGGAAAAATAAATTCATTAGTTGAGGAAATGGATGAAGAAGATATCAAGCCAAAAATCAAGAATTTGTCAAGAGAAAATGGCAAACAGAAGAGGAAGATGTATGCGTATGAAATTTGAGAAAATCCCTCAAGAAATTCCGAAGAAGAAAGAACGTGACTAGAAGTTTGCATGAAGCTATCTTGAAGATCAAGCATCTATGGAAAGAAAGGAGTACACCAAGTGGAACAAGAAAATAACCAATAGGTTGTACAGACGAGAAGGTAGAAGCTTGAAATATTATGTGCAAGGTCACAGGTTCGAATCTCACATCCCACATATTTTAAAGAAGCCAAGTTAAAATTCCATCTGATCAAGTTAGAGGCGATGATTTGGCCGAAGGGATACAATTTGCAAGTCAATGGGATGAGATTTCCAATTTGACTAAGGGATGCAATTTACAAAGTCAAAGGGAATGAGATTTCCAAATTGACTAAGGGATGAAGTTTAAAAGTGAAGGGATGCAGTTTCTCAAATTGGTATCCCAAACAAATTGGAACCCCGAAATTGAAATAGGGATGCAATTTCATCAGAAAGAATTGAAGTTCAAATTGGTACAGGGAAATCAATTTGAAGGGATGAGATTTACAAGGCTTCAATTCAATTGGAGATATAGATTGCAATTCAATTGGAGATATAGATTGCAAGGGATGAGATTGCAATTTCAAATCAAGTAAGGGATGAGAATTCAATTGACAAATCTAGCAAGGGATAGAGATTTCATTTTCCAAGTCTCAAATTGGTATCCCAAACAAATTGGAACCCCGAAATTGAAATAGGGATGCAATTTCATCAGAAAGAATTGAAGTTCAAATTGGTACAGGGAAATCAATTTGAAGGGATGAGATTTACAAGGCTTCAATTCAATTGGAGATATAGATTGCAAGGGATGAGATTGCAATTCCAAATCAAGTAAGGGATGAGAATTCAATTGACAAATCTAGCAAGGGATAGAGATTTCATTTTCCAAGTCAATTGAAGAGATGAAGTCTGGAAGCAGTATACAAACCCGTATACAAACCCAAATACACGAAAAACAGAGGAAGATATTGGAAGAAGTTGCAGAAGCAAAAACGAGCAAAAACGAAAAACAGAGGAAGATATTAGAAGAAGTTGCAGAAGCAAAAATACTAGTCTAACTAGTAAGGGATTATATTGGAGAATATATTTTGAAGATAAAAATCCCAAGAGGCGTGATCTACACCAGATGGAGATTCATGGGACGCCATTTTTGCTGAAACCTCAAGCTCAATTTGAAATATCTGACAAGATCTGCAACGTTATCTTCTCTTCTGACAAAAGGCTTAATATCTGACAAGATCTGCAACGTTATCTTATCTTCTAACAAAAGGCTATACAGCTAAGCAAAATTCGAAAATGAGACCGTTTCTTTCCAACGGACGGATTCTCATTACCAGCTATAAATAGATGAAGATTGAAGATGAGGAAAGCAGAAGCAAGAAGCAAATAGCAGAAGCAAGAAGCAATAGAGCAAGAATACAGAGCTAAACAGAGCATACAAAATTCAAAGAAAGCTTTCCATCTCAGGAGCTTAAATTGATATATCTTTTGTGAGATAAACACTCAGAGTGATACAGAGCTTAGAAAAGAAATATCCAAGAGTGTTGAAATCTTCATCAACTTCAAGAGATTAAGTGCATCAACGAAGATCATCTACAGAATCTCAAAGTTGGAAGCAAGGCAAAACTTGTTTTGGAGCAAAACAAGGGAAAGGAGGAAAGTAACACGGAGTTGTGAAATCCTGGATTGTCACACGGAGCTGTGAGATCCGAAGCAGCAGTGTCGGGAAGACATTGGGCGTGATTGGTGTGGGCTTGGTGATCAAAGCACCAGATCACGGAAGATACGTTTCTACCAGATCGTAGAAGACGGGGGGAAAGTAGCACGGAGTTGTGAAATCCTGGGAAAGTAACGCGGCGACGTGAAACCCGAAGCAGCAGTGTTGGAGGCACTGGGCGTGATTAGTGTGGGCTTGGTGATCAAAGCACTAGATCACGGAATTCATTGTATCTTGGAACCTAGAAGTGGTGGATATAGTGAATTAGCTCTTGGAGAAAAGAGCAAGTGGAGTAGGAGGATTACATCACCTCGCGAACCACTATAAATTGCCTTGTGTTCTTTACTGCTTTCTTTACTTACCGCTCTTGCTTGCTTCTCACGTCAATAATCTTGACACGATCTACACACACACCTATCGTTTATTTAATTCCGCTGTGCACCTGACTCTAACAATCTAGTTAAGAGTCTTGGTTTATCTCTGGCTTACCTTTTGTTATGTTGTGCGAAAAAGTTTGAAAGTCTATTCACCCCCCCCCCCCCTCTAGACTTTCACCTTACCTCTTTT